ATTAAACTTTATAATTTTATTAATAAATTTTTTATTTTTATATCAAATTAAAATTTATAATTTATAATTTAATATATATTTTTTTAGAATTTTTAAATTTTTTCTGAAAGAATTATAAAAATTTTTTTTAATTAAAAATAAAATTTAATTAATAAAAATAAAAAATATTTATTAATAAAATTATAAAGTTTAATATAAAGAAAAATTTTAAGTTTTATTATATTTTATTAATCAAATTAATTTTAGATGCAATATCATTATGATTTAAAAGAAATTATTTAATTAAATTATTTTTTAATTATTATTATTAATTAAAAATAAAAATTATACTAATTATATATATTAGTAATAAAAAAACTTTATTATTTTTTGAGTTAAATAAAAATTAATAAAAAAATAATTTTTATTTAAATAAAAATAATAATATTTAAAAATATAATTTAAAAATCTTAATAATATTTAGCAATGAGTAAATTAATAAATAATAAAATATAAAATATTAAAGTATTTGAATTATAAAATTTTAATTAAGATTATATTTTTTAAAATTAAATTTTTTTAACTTATTAAAAAATAATACTAATATTATTTAGTAAATAGTCTTAAGTAAACTTTTTAAATAATTTTTTATTGAATTATAAGTAAATTAAAAAGTTAAATTTTTTTGTCACTGACTGTATATATCATTTGGCCAAATTATTATAAAATACAGACTAATTTGCAATAATAGTCATTGAATCTGTTACAATTATTGTTAAGATGTTTGAAATTATTTTTGTTACTTATTTTAAGCTTATCACAAATCTCTTAAAAAGATAAAGACTTCACGAATAATGGTATGATTTCGTTTTCTACTAGCTCATTCGATTCAATTGAAACCACATGAAAAATAAAAATTTTAATCAAACAACTAATCTTACATCTTTTCGCAATTATTAATTCTTCATTAATTAAAACTATATTTACTACTTTTATTGATGCTTTGCGTAAACAAATTAAAAAACGTGCGTGTGTACAGAATATATTTACAAACAAGAAAATAAGCATATACGTATAATATATATATAGTATATATAATGTGCATATATGTATATATATTTTTATATAAATAAAGTGGTGATGTGGTTTATATTTTATGCATTAACATGTACGTGGATCTCTTTTCAGCACCAACATCTTCACACCTCCTTTCTTCCTCTTCATCTTTCTTTCTAACTATTCTCTATTTCTTTTTTCTTTTTACTCGTGATGATAAAAATAAATCTGTTTCAATTCCTTTTTTTTTGTGTTTGATCTCAGACGAAGTTTCTTTTGACCCAAAAGCTAAAACTTCCTATTTAATTGGTGACTATATTATAGATGACACTTTAGGGACAAAAGTAAAGCAAGCAAGCAACTCGTCAATGATATTATTTATTTTGAGGGGTGGGGATTTCATCATCGTTGTCAATTCACGAGAATCTAATTGACTATCTACTAACTCTTATGTAATTTCCTTTTAAGCATTAGGCAGAATAAAAATGAGCTGATAGACAAGACAGAACAGAATAACAGCGAATCATTTATGAACACGTAAGCGATAATAGTAACCTATATATTTATCGTTATTAATAGAAAACAAATAATGACTCTTTGATTTCCTAATCATACATTCATCCCATTCATTGAAAATTTAACTTATTTTTCCAGTATGTACTGTACGTAGTTCTTACATGAACGTTTGGAAAGTTTAGGTTTATAAGTTTGGAGGGCGATTAATTTAATAAGTAGGTAAATCTTTCCTTCTCAATATTATTTCGATATTATTTGTTGTTGTCGCTCCGAACAACCAACAACCGGATCATCCTCTTGTTTGCCTTTTGAAAAATCAAGAAAAGAACGTATCTTGCGCCACAATTTTTTTATATAGATGTTATAAAAAAAATATACAATACATACTGATTTAAAATATTTATACGTAGTAGTAATAGTAAAAATATGCACTATTACTATGATTATTGTCATGAATGATGATAATGTTTGAGGGGGGGGTACCTTTTTTATAATGTGACGATGAAATAATTGTGGTAGTGGACCTCATGACATGATTGAATTCAGTTACAGTTCAGTTCGATTCAATTCTTGATTTGGGTCTCCTCTCTTTCGGATCTAATCTTTTTTTCTTTTTTCAAATTGTGGCTCCAGAATTTCAAGTTGATATATGTGGATATTTTCAAAAAAAAATTTAGTGTTTCACATGGTATATATATATATGAATTTCTGTGGTTCAACAAAATGAGTTGCTGAGCATATCCGATTAGATGAGATTTTTTATTTTGAAATTTCGAGCAGCACAAAATCTGTATTTTCACCAAAACCTAGAATAGTAGGTAGAATATCAGTAGTTAAACTAACAAATCACTAATTTTCGTCATCAAAATTTTCCAAAAACACAACAAAAAATTATTCAAACTAACGATATAAACAGCCGCTTCACCCAAACAATTCCTAATTTTCTGTTTTCACACCTTTCTCCATCGTGTTGTAACGTGTGTGCGAGTCTTTTCTCCGTTTTGTATTTAACAAAATTGTTTATCCATTAATTTTTTTTTGCTAGCATTTGACAACAACTCAACGTATATACCATACTATATTATTATTATTATTATTATTTTGTAGTGTGTAAATTATTATTTATCCTTCTCCCGTCTATCCGTTCCAACTTTTTTTTTGTGCGTGCGTGCGTGTGCGTGTGTGCGTTGTGCGGTGCGTCTCTGTTGTTTATATTTTTTGTTGGGTAAGTGCGTACATTCACTTTTCATTATTGCTTGTTTCTTGTTCTCTTTCACACTCTACTTGCTTGCTTCCGTTCGTTCGTCAGTCAGCTCAGCATTTCTTTTTCATTCGAGAACAAATTCTCGAATGAATTACACATTCTTCGCATTCTCAATTCACGAACACGCTATTCTTCAAATTCTTCATATTAAATTCATTGATCAATCTATCAGACGGGATACGTATTTCTTTAGCCATTAGCCATTACATATATTATTTTTTTTTCATAACGCGTATTTTCTTCTTTTCTTTCGCTTACTTTCTACTATCATGATCATTGTCTTCACTATTACATTATTTCATAATGATTCATTTCATTGTTACCACACTCTATTTATTTTTGATTATTCAATCCAAAAATCGAGCGCTTCTGTCCAGAAGGTTAGAGTCTGATATCAGAGAAATCATTATTTAAAAACCAATAACGTCAACGTAAATACTGTTTTTCGGCGAATGGACGCCGTTCTTCGGCCGACAGTTAACAAAAAAGAAATCATTAAAATCGAATATTTCACTAACGCCGAAAGGAAGACAAGAAGAGAGGGCAGAGAGTCGACACACTGCGATAATCAAACAACAGGCACATATATAATAAATATGCATAGATTATATGTATTAAGTGAGAATACTAAAAATAACTTGAAGCGAGAAAGCCCACAAATAAAAAATACCCGCACCACCACCAGAATAGCAGCCACCACCACCACCACCACTTTTTTCTACTTACTGCTGCACCGGGTGCATACCGACGCTGTCTCCTGCTTGGCGCAAAACAACACTCACTCTTAGTTCAACTAGACAAACTATACCACCTATATAACACAAAAACTCCAACCAACCAGCAAGACAATGTTTTATTATTATGCGTGTCGACTCTCTCTTGCTTCGTCATATATTTAATTATGCGTTTCACTAGCTGTTAAAACTTTCCGCTTACATATTACTACCACAACTATTTTAATAATTGATATATTTTAACTTTATTATTACTATTTTTTTTTATTATTAGTTATTCGCTCATTATTATTATTATTATTATTATTATTATTTCTATTATTCTTTTTTTATTTGTACTCTTGTTTTTTTTCTTTCGCTTTTTTTTAATTTTATTTTTTTCTTTGATAAAAGACATTTCTTCTTTTTTTTTATTTTTTATCAATCATAGACTTGCTTGAACAAGTGTGTGTTGTATTCTATATTTCTATATATATTCTATTATTATATTATATTTCTTGTCGTTCCTTTAGATTTATCTTCACTAAGTGTTTGATATTTTATTTCTATTACAACTTTTTGCTATATTATTTGTAACTTTGTATTATTATATACATATTGCTATTAATACTGTTTCAAATCGTTAATACCACCACCACCAAAACATCTCGGTACCTCCTCTACATCCTTTTCTCCCGTTTCCCCTTTGTATACTAGCTTCCTACTTTGTTACTTTTTCCGATACTTTTTTCCTTGTCCACTTAATTTTAATTGATCTGCGTATTTTTTTTGTCTGATGGTTGATTCCAAACAAAAATTTTCAAAATAACAGACTATCCATAATCTCCTTGATTTTAGTTTATTCATATCACTTTTCCTCCCCTCATTTATTTTCTACCTAGCGTTCTCCAACTAAAAGAGATCTATTTACTCATTGAAAAATCTTCCTTTTGCAACAACATTTCTAGGCGGAGGTTCTGCTACTATCCCCGAAAAAAATATTATTCGTTAATCGCGAAAAAAAATCATTTATTAAATCAACATCTTTATCATCAATTGCCATGTCTGGACCTTCAAGCATGGCGGCACTTGCTGCGCCCAATAGTGCATTGTTCCCACATAACATCTACACTAAAGAATATCATCCGTCGTCATCAACATCGACATCATCTTCATCATCAGCTTTGAAATCATCGTCAATTCAACAACAAGTGACTAACAATGATTTACATAGAAATATCAGTAATAGCAGCAATATTAACAAAATTGACTCGAGATCGAACCGTTATTCTACAGGCTCCATCATATCATCTTTGTCTTCGTTGAGCAATTCTAATACATCAAATATCAATCATAACAGCACAATTCCCAATAACATAAACACCATGATGAATAGCAACAGCAACAGCAGCATTAGCAATAATAATCTTCATCATCGTTCTTCCTCCTCCGATGCCTCGAATGATCGCGATATGGTTTTGCTTCAATTGCAACGGCAAGCGTTAAATGGCGCCTTGTCGCCGACGATGAATTCTTCAGTGGTCGAAAGTAATCTTGAAAGATTGTCCGATCGTAAATCACCAACTCGTGAATCGGATATGAACGATTCGTTGAAACTTTTGGCTGCTTTTGACATGAATTCCGATTTATTGGTTTGCGTTAATTTTTAATCTCTGTTTTTAATTTATCACGGAATTCATGATTAACGTTTTTAATTTGGATCATTCTAATGATTGATAATTGATGATAAATTTAATAGCAGATGGCACAAAATCAACATAAAAGCCCATCGATTCTATCAGAGGTTGATGTTGTGAGTATTTTTTTTGTTCATTTTATTCATAAAACCCTACAAACTAGAAATATTATCAACAAAAACTAGCAATCCTGTATTTATGTTCATGTGTACATATTAATTGTATCATATAATAACTCGACTCTTCTTTGGGATTTCATAAATTTCAGAAATTGGAACAAAAAAGACAAGAGCACGAGCGTGAGCTTCGAGCACGACAACGAGCATTCGATGAACACATGAGAAGACTCAAATATCAACAATTAAAAGAAGAGGAAGAATTACTGAAGCAACATCAGGCGAACAATAATAGCAATAGCAGTAGTAATAGCACAAGTGCGCCTACTACGCCGCCTTCTCTTTCGAGTAATGACACACGTGCTAGATCAAATACTATGCCAAAGTTATCATCACCCGTTAGCGTTTTGGCACCATCAATAAGTAATAGCACCAATAACAACAACAACAATAATACCAGTCATTTGGCTGTCGCGCCGCCAAATCATACAGGACAGTCTCAACTACAACCCCGATTACCTAATGTATCTCGTTCCGTTCCAACTTCAAGGCGTAACTCAAATGAGACTCCCGAGAAACCTGCCTGGCCTGAGATTGAGAGACTCGCGATACACGATAAAGACGATGAGCCACATGACAATAATACAGAGTACGATAAAATTTATATGAAATTGATCATCCTAGTAATCATTAACCTTCTATAATAACTAATTTGTGCCTATGTCATTGTTAACAGGAAAGCTGCGAAACGTATTTCCTCTGCTCACCCTCAAAGTCTATTGCAAGCAGCTCTAACGCGTAATATGATGGAGGACACAAATAATGTAGCTACTTCTACAGGTGCTGCTCCTGCAATTAATAATAACACGGATAGCTCATTATTTCCACAATTTAACGAAAAGTTCTTGTATGAGGACGATGGTGAAGCCTCCGGAAATGGAAATTTAGGTCCTTCTTATGTTAATCGATACCTTCAGATGAACACGGATAATGATAAATTTCCTATTCTGGTTCGACGCGATAGTTTCCCTGGAATGGTATTTATATTTATATTTATATTTTTATTTCTTTCATTTCAGACAAAGTTCTCAGTAATTAACGCTGTATTTGATTTTCCGTTACCATAAGCTATCCGCATCATCAGCAGCTCTTGATTTAGCACCATTAGCGCAAACCTCACCAAGACATACACGCGGTTGGGAAGCATTCCGTAACACTGATTGGACTCAATATAAACAACATGAAGCAACTGAGCGTCATTCTGCAACACGCTCACATCTCGATCAAATGACGACGTTTTTCTCGGAACCAGCGACAGCAACAACTGCAACATCATCTACACCGTCTATTACCTCTTCCACCTCCAACAAGAAACAGCTCACCGATCTTATCTCTTCTGAAAATGTTTATTCGTCGTCGTCTTCATCTTCGAACGATAGAAAGAAGCTGGACACTTTGATTACAGAAAATATATCGAAAAGACCACAAAAACTTTCGAACTCTTTTTCGACACCAGATTTACAGAGTGGAGGTCGATTAGTTCGTCGTGACAGAGCTCTTACGGAATTTGAAGAATCTCAATTAATTCAAGCGATGCATTTACAGAACACCAATGAATATACACTCGCTTCCGCTTCTGGCGTATGTCGCTTCTATCAGCAGGGATTCTGTTCACGAGGTGAACGATGTCAGTATGCGCATACACATCATCATTCGCTGCTAAATCGTGATGCCGGATCATTATCGTCAATGGGACTCCCACAAATGGGATTCCCGGGTGTTATGCCTCAATTGAACAGTGCTGCCGCTGCTGCTTTATACAGTCAGTATAATATGAATGGACTTAATACTCTGGCCATGTTTTCAGGCTCGACAAATTTCGGATACAATCAAAATCTCGCCAACATAAATGCAGCTCTTGGTAATCATCGAGGAGTATTACCCCAAAATAATAATGCCCTGTCAAAAATCAATCAAAAACGAATGAATAATGATCTTGAAGGTTGGTTTTTTTTTGGCAAAATGTCTGAAATCGAAAATGAACCTTAATATTCTAAATACTCATTTTATGTTTGTTCGTTTCTTAGTCAACAGATTTTCGGGTGTGCAACTTGAAGATTTAATGGGTGAGATCTATTCACTTTGTAAAGATCAACACGGATGTAGATACTTGCAAAAGAAGCTCGAGGAGAAAAATGAAAAGTACATCAATATGATTTTCAATGAAGTCTTTAGCCATTTCGTTGAATTGATGACGGGTTAGTTGCATTTACCTTTGCCTGTTTAATCTATTTATAAACTTTCAATTTATTGAGTTCTATTTTATCTTTTTAGATCCATTTGGCAATTACCTGTGTCAAAAATTACTCGAATATTGTAACGACGATCAACGTACCATTATTGTCGAGACCGTCGCTCCTGAATTGGTTAACATCTCATTAAATATGCATGGAACTCGTGCAGTTCAAAAAATGATTGAATTTTTGTCGACATCGCAACAAATGAGACGCACCGGGAGACAAGCTGTAAGTTATACTCGCAACTATTTATATTAGGGAAGTCCTTTTCATATCTTTCTCACACAAATGCATCCAAATATCTATTCTTTTAGATTCGAATGGTTATTGTTGCATTAAACCCAAATGTCGTTACTCTAATTAAGGACTTGAATGGGAATCATGTAATTCAAAAATGCCTTAATCGTTTGAGTTCGGAAGATAATCAAGTAAGCATAGTAGCGATTTCTCAAAGTAACACCATAATTCATATTGCTAAATTCAATTGCACCTACACATTTATACATTCACCACAGTTCATTTACAATGCGGTTAGTCAGCACTGTGTCGAGGTCGCTACGCATCGACATGGATGTTGTGTACTTCAACGATGTATTGATCATGCTTCCGACGGTCAAAAGTTCCAATTGGTGAACGAGATCACATATAATGCTTTAACCTTAGTGCAAGATCCATTCGGAAATTATGTTGTTCAATATGTTCTGGATCTTGGTGATATTCGCTTTACTGATGCATTGATCCGCAGATTCATCGGGAACGTGTGCCTATTATCGGTGCAAAAGTTTAGCTCTAATGTCATGGAAAAGGTGAAATAAATTCATTTTATTAGTTTTTTTTGATTTTATTATTCCTTATAACTTATCTCTATTCGATCTTCATCGTCTAACCAATCATTTTAGTGTATCCGGGTTGCAGAGCCAGAAACACGGAAATACCTGATCGAGGAGATGCTTAATAAGAGTCGACTCGATAAGTTGTTGCGAGATTCTTATGCCAATTATGTGGTGCAGACATCTTTGGATTATGCTGATCCCGTACAGCGTGCGCAAGTAAGTTTTGACATGTCATTGTGTTCTGTATATAGATGATTACATAATTAAATTAACCTTTATTCTATAATAATCAATAATAGTTGGTAGAATGTATTCGACCGTTACTTCCCGCCATTCGAAATACCCCATATGGTAAACGTATTCAAGGAAAATTACACCGCGAACAACAATTGCAGGCCATGAACTCGATAAACAATATTAATATGAACAATTTAAGTATGCTTGGTTACCCTTTCAATGGGCTCAGCAATTTCAATAACCTTAATAGCATTGGTATGCTTGGGTTAAATGACTACGCACCCGCTTATCCATACTTGTAAAAAGATTATATATTTTTATTCTTTCACTTTATTTTTTCTTTACATTCTCTTTCTTTTTCTACAAAACAAATTCATTTCTCGGTTATTTTTTTTTCTAGCGCGATTATTGTTATTTTAGTAATACATATAAGTAAATAGTAAGAGAGAACAGAGGGATGAGATTATTTTTATTATTATTATTTAGAAACAGACTAAAAATTCAGTTTATTTTTGGTGTTTGCGGTTACTGGTGGCAACTATTTTTACTATATATTTTTTTTATATTTTTTTTAGTAGTATATTGTATTTTTTTATTATTTTTAAAACACACATACACAGGCTTTTTCGATTCATTTAGATATATCGTGGCGGTGCGAGTTACTTTTCTTGTATGTATGATCATGTATAACATACACACACAAAGCCCCAAACACTTTATAGTCGTCCCCCTTTGTTCTATATCGTAAATTGTTATTTTTATTATATAACAAAAACACATACCAAAAAAATCATGTAAAAATAGTTTTCTTTATTATTTTCGAAATTGTATGTGAAAAACTTAATTGTTATAATATTATATTACTTTTTTATATATTTTTTTCAACGCCACGGAAATTTATAAATACGCAAAAATATATACACTCATACATATAGTATTAGTATTAATACAAATCATGCACATACATCTTAATCTCTTATATTGTGTTTTCCCC